CGATTCGTTGCTAGACCGGTTCTTCAGGAGGACCGAACCGGCCATAAGACCGGTTCACAGTTGAACCGGTCGAACTGGCCGGTCCGGTCCGATTTTCTAAACAATGATATGGACGATGCTTGCTCACTAGCTTGTCTACTTGTACTAATATGATGAGAACTATGATTTTTTTATTAATGATACTTTCAAGCAAAGCAACTATCACAGATTTAAACGTACTCAGAATAGCTTACTATGGGTTGGAGTTGTATTGGGTTACTTCAATTCTTACACCAGAAACACCTTGAACCATAGAAACCCTTGATATTGGGCTAACTAGAGAGTAGACTAGAGCACTACTAGAAGCTTTGTGATTGGCAAGCTAAACAACTATTGGGCTTGCAGTGATATCCCATCACACAATCATCTTAGCACTTAGCCGAGAAACTTCCTTGTCCTTGACTCTTCATTGAAATTTCATCTATATTTTCTTGCGGGCTGGCACAACAACATCAACAAATGTAATTCTTTTTGCTCGTCTTGTTGTTCTTCCTCTTCTTCTAAAGAAGGGTTTAATCGCCCGTCTTCTCCCTGTTGTCATTATCCTCCAAAAGGAATGGCAAGTGCAGCTCCAGTTGTCACTAATAGACTTGAATATTGGACCACTCATTAATTTGGCCAACCATGTAAATGATTTCAACGTCCATAGTTTCCTCTTCTTATTCCTCTTCTTCTTGCATGCATTTTTTAGTAACATTTGCACTAGACATAGACCGCAACAGGATTCTTCCACTCAGAATTCTGAGTAACCCAGGTGATTCAGCAATATGAGATATTTTAACAAATCCTTAAGACTGACACGCCTGCAGCAAGCATTGAGAAGCCTTGGCATTGGAAGGGAGAATCCTGAGGCCTTCAAGGCGGATGATGGCGCCACCATATTTAGTATCGATTAGAACATTAGAAAGGTGGATGTTGGCGGGGCCTGAGTTTCTTAGAAAAAGAGGAATTTTAAAGTTGCGTTCTGAATAAATAAAAAATGCAGATCAGTAGTCAACATTTTACATATCAACCAACACATTCAAAAGCAGAAGTTTAAAAAACATTAAAAAAAATGACATTGTAATAGATGAGCAAGCTCTATATAATAATTGGAAGAATTTAAAATCATCCTCAAAAAATAATTTTAAAGCTTATGCAGATGTTATCTTAGAAATAATTTTGAATTTTTTATTTCGTTGTTATTTATCTGCTACAATAGTGGTTGTAAGACTAGCCGGAGATGAAAAGAAAAATCTATCCCAAAAAAGTCGTCAGAAATATAAGGGTACCAAAAATTTGTGCCGACATAATAGAGGGAGCTTATGATTCCAAATGAAATTATTTAGAAGTTCAATTAGATTGTGAATAAGACATCGTCTAGATATTTTGTCCACATTTTGCAAAGACTTTATGATCTAATTTCAAGTTTCTCATAAATGCAAACCACTCTTAGTGTATAGCAACAACAAATTTGGTTCAAGATTGAAGAAATTTACCACCATGAACTTAAAGAGGATGGTGGGGGGTAATAATGATAAACCCAATGAAGATCACATGATTATGTCATTTCAAATTGTTATGATCCCTAGACTACTTAGTTAGCAAATGTAGTCAACTCAGTCGGACTGAAAGATTCTTGTCAACAATCATTTGTTGCATCGTCCAAGAGAATCTTATAAATTTGGGATATATATTTGTATGAGAGAATCAATTTAATTTGATGTTTGCTAATAGAGGACATTATACCCTATCACGAATATACCATGAGTCACTACTCGAGTGGTTTTATGTTATTAGGGAATTTGCGTGCTCTAATTATGACCATGGTTTAAAATTGAGCAATATGAGGCTCGCCTTGAGGCTCACCTTTGTGCAATTCCAATAAAAAATGCCTCGATGCTTATGGCTGAAGTTTTTTTTTTATGAGGCTTGCGCCTCAACTTGGTTGAGGCCTGCCTCGCCTCACTGGCATGCGGCTTACGCCTCATGCTATATATATTAAAACTTACATAAATCTTGAAATAAATGCCCGACATTGGACTCTATAGGAGAGGAGGAAGGGGAGAGAGCAATTCATCATAATGATGATTCAAATGAAGAACCCCTTAGTGATGACAGTGCTGATGACTTATGAGTTCTTATGTGATATGTCATTGCTAGTCATTTGGTAGAAAATCCACTAGTTAGATGACACATATCATATTCTTACTGCTAAGAGATCATTTGAGAGTGAAATGTCGATGTGCTCAACAAAGTATTGGCTCTTTTAGAGATGAGATTATTCTTAAATTTATCACTCTTGACAAATAGTTGTGGATGGTAGACGAATTTTAATGTAGATTATAGGGGTAGATTTCACTTATTGATCTTCACATTTTAAAGTTTTTGAGATAGAGGCCTCAGGTTAAGATAAATGTTGATTGCATACATCATAAAGGTATTTTCACAATTATATTTTGTTATTTTGAACCTTATCAACTCTATCCACTCACCAATAAAGGACTAGGTTCATTACTTTTGTATCATCCCTCATTTAAATGATAGTTGCAAAGATGTTTGTCAGGGTTGCATAAGTTTTATCGACTTCAATCCTTATAAGGAGTATCCAACTTGAAATGTAAGAATTACGACGTTGCCATATAGGCAAAGTGGCTTGCACAAAAGCATCGCGCACTTATGATAAATTTAATTTTAAGAAAAGAATTTTATAAAATTTCAAAATGATAATTCATTATTTGAATAATTGCATGATTATTGGGACAAAGTAAATCTGATTTCAACTTATTTTTTATCGTGTGGCATTCTCGCAAGTCAAATTCAAGCATTCAACACATTTGTCAGAGCATATGAGTATGAGTTGAGTTTAACACATGATATTTTTTTTTAAAAGGCAATGCTTTTTCATAAATTCATCATACACTTGCATGCTTTTATATGCATTTTCCTAATTTAGTATATACTTGCATGCTTTTTGATGAATTTTCAAAATTTATAATATAATAAGCTTTTTTATGCATTCACGTAATGATTACATATTTTTCGATGCATTTACATGATGCACTTGCATGCTATTAGGTGCATTTGCAAAAAATAATAGCATATTTTTCATACACAACATGATTTTCGATGTAATTGTTCAGTGGGCTTAAATGTTTTCAATGATTTATTATATATCATCATGAGGTCACTTCCACACTTTTTTATGTACTTGTTAGTCTGCTTGCATATTTATAGAATAGTGGCATACTTCTCAAAGTAAATACATGCTTTTTGATATTGTTGTACTTTTTTCGAGGTTGTTGAACGTTTCACAAAACTGTTACACACATATCAAGACGATTGAATAGATATCAAGATAGTTGTACAATTCTTGAAATAATTGCATGCTTTTCAAAGTGGTTGCATGCTTCTTAGGTCAATTATACGCTTCTTGATGTAGTTGCATTCTCTCAAGGCAAATGCATACTTTTCAAGTCAATTGTATTTGAATTGAGAATTACCTCACTAAACACATGAAGGGCTTTAAATTTTTCAAATATATTTATTTGCATAAATATTTTTATTATTAGATGCACATAATATTTCATTTTGAAATTTAAAGTATCCCCTTTTATCCACTTGCATGTATGTTGCAGACCTGGTACCAGGATTGAAAGGTCAAAACTTGTTAGCACAGGAGTTATTGTGTGCAATCGTGTAGGTGAGGACTTTTGCATGAGGGATGTGTGCGTAGCAAATGGAAAGGATCATGAGGGGCTACTGTGGGACTAATGCAAGCATGCCAAAGGCAATGACAATAGCAAGTGTGATAGGGGACTGCAGAAGAAAAAAAAAAAGGAGAAGACAGCGGTAATGGGAGGAGTTAGGTCATGTGAGATGAAGAGAAAACATCAAAAAATGTTTAGAGATGTTTTTTTTATTTTTATTTAGTTTTTATTCTAGGATGACCTTCTTCAATATGCATGAGGCACGTATGGTATGGGGCATCGAATGTAGATAAAGAGTTAGTGGGTTTGGAGAAAGGATATGGTCGACAGTTTTGGTATAAATAAATTAAGATAATATAGTTCCTTTTTTTTCATTATGTATATAATTTAACTTCATTTTTTTAAATACTTTGTAGGCACATTTAACACTTCTCCATCCATCGCACGCACACATTGCAACTCTCCTTTATTCCACACATTCCAGTATTGTATCAGCCACTTCGCACGCCTAGGTGTATTTGATTTGATATGTGTGTGTGTATATTTTTTTTTTCTCTGCGCACACAATCTCATTTTCATCGTTGTTTAACACGAAATGTTTCTCCATACAAAAAATCGATAATTTGGCAAATCCTTTTTCAGACAATTTCGACATTCCAAACAACTTAGACGCACCCAAATATTCAAATGTACATTGTTTGAGTGGTTTAGATTGTAATTGAAATATCTTAAATTTATTTCATGCAACATTGCATTCGTTGCTTGTCTTTGATGTCACATCCGATCATTCAAGTTGCGGTTGTATCGAGGTCAAAAAAGGTACAGTTATTGGAATTGTTTATTTTGCCCTAATAATATCACTATGAAAGACTATTTTAGTTATCAAAAATACTTTAATGGAATATCTACAATGTGGAGCTAAGTGTAATGGCATTCAATCTCAAGAATTTAATTGCAGCATTTTTTAAAAGTATGGCCCTACCTCTTTCATATAGGGACGTGCATGTAATTTTTCTTAAATATAATATAGAGGGATTATGAATGAAACAAGATATACCAAAAACATAAGAAGTGGTGTCCAAATGATTTATCAATATGAAAATAATACAAAAAAAAATTTGTAAATAAAGTCACAAATAAATCATGTTCATATTAATAGTAATTTGCACAGGTTAATGAAGTTGAGAAAAGTAAAAGTTGTTTAATCATGTTAAATAATCTTCAGTTCAAATTATATAGGGATGGAGGGAGAAATTTTTTTTAAAAAAATACCAATGTATTTGCAGCAAATCAATGTAATCAGTGGAAAGCCGCATGAGGCTCTTTTCTACGCTCTCTTTCACGTTGGCAGCATCAACTCGCAAGACTTCTGCATTATCTCGCATGTATGCAGCTTGCTCAGAGTAACCACAAACCTTGGTAGCCAATATTATCTATAAATCAAAGAAAAATTAACGTCAGAATGATAATAAATGAATTCTTCTTACTTGGTCTTTTAAAATAGATCTTTACCAATCATTCTAGCTATTATGATCTGAGTTTTCTGTTACTTTTAGCTCACCATTAATAAATTGTAACTGATTATTACTTATCCCACTCCTTTACTATCATAGACACTTGACATTAATTCTATTTCTCAGCCTATCTATATTCAACGATGCATGTCAAAATACCTAACTTTCTTCGTTTGCATAGCAGTGTTTTGGGCTTGGTCTCGTGTAAGAGACGAAACCATAATAGTGGCTTTTGTCTTCTTCGTTTGCAAGGTCCAACAGGGCTGAACAAGGAAGCTAGAAAGCTTGAAAAAAAAATGAAGCCTCGAGCAGATAGTTAAGAATCAGTACAAATACGCATACCTTGCCACTCATTTTCTTTGTTCATTTTATACTAGAGCTTGCCCACGATGAGAGCATATTCGGCTCAACGACGTGCGAACGTGCTAGAAAATTTTAATTTTAAGAATGTTTATTAAATTTCATTTTTCTTTATTAATTTCCAAAACCTATACAACTTTTAAAAAAATGGTAGATTGATGATCCGATTTGGTAATACAAAAGCCCACGAAGGATAAGAGCCTCCGTCCCTTTGATTTGTGATGCATTTCTATCTTCCAGAAGAGTGACATCGTGACAATTGCCATAAGCATGACTTGAAAAGCTCTAAATGCATAAACCAAGCAATTTCCCATCATTAAAGCAGTCTTTCTTAGCGCAAGCTTTTAGTATTTCCATTCTACTGACAGCAAATTTTTTGTCATTAGAGTAGCACGGTGGCTCTAATTTTGGCACATGTCAATATGATTTTATCATGTTGTGCCCAATATTGCATTTAATCTGCATTTGCTTCTTCTTTTTTCACTGAAGTCCCCTTTTAAATGTAAATGTTTGAATAATACTTCTTTTATACTCAAACATTCTTCTAAATTAGTGGTAGGTCAAGATTTTTGGGCTATCTATCTTGAAGCTTTGGTACACATGAAAGGAGCTGAACACGAAATAGTGTACAATCCTAAGAATGCTCAAGGTATGTAAGTTATCTCTTTCACAAAGCGGGTGGAAATATTCTTGAGATTGGTGTATTCAAGTGTTTGAATAATTGATGAAAGACCTAAATTGCATATATGTAATTGCTTTTATTGCATTGCAATGTCTTATAACCTCTATGTGATTTAAATAGGATAGTCATTCATACTTATTATAGCATTTTGTCTTATTACACTTCTACAAGGTTTACACATTTGGATATTAAAGTGTTATCTTTCCGTTAGGCAAGGCGTGATACTCATGATATTTAGAGGCATAAGCTTTAGAATTAAACAGTTAAATTAATGAAAAATATTAAATAACAAGTAACATACTAACATTAAACTAAGATGTTAAAATATATTATAAAAAATAAAGGACTAATAAAAGTAATACAAGGCTACAAATAATGCTAAATAAAGAGTCTCTCCTACTCTTAGATCAACTTAAACAGATAGTTTAAGGTCATAATTTATGTATTTAAAAATCACCCCCTCTCATCGCTTAAAGGGTTTTCACTAGAATCATTCTTCTAGTATATTGCTTTTCTCCTCCCTAATACTAGAAATAAAGAAATGGGTTTCCAATAACAAGAGGAAAGGCACTTAAGGAGAAGCGATGGTGGCGGAGCAACGATGACGATGCAAAAGGATCGAATGAAAATATGAGGATCATGCGGCAAGCATTTGTGAGTTTGAGATTGTGCAATTCTTCTCAAGTTTGGTTCAGTTTAGGTATAATAATTAGATTTAATTTTATACATATAATCTATAAATTAAATTTTAAAAATACATAAACCTTTTTTTAAAGAAAGTAGTGAGACTGCAATATTTTATGGCACAGAATGTTGATCATTAAAAGAGAGGCATAAAATTAAGTGTTGTAGAGATGAGGATGCTTAGGTAGTTGAGTGGCTTCACTCTTAAAGAGGATGCGAAACGAGCTTATACGTGAAAATGTTGGAGTAGCTCCAGTGGCAGATAAGATTAGAGAGAGTCTCCTTAGATAGTTTGGTCACACAAAACGTAGGCCTTACGATGACCAGGCTAGGACAGTAGATGTATTAGATTTAGCTTATGTTAAGAAAGGTAGAGGTAAACCTAAAAAGTCTTAGGTAGAAAATTATAGAAATAATCTGTTCTAATTAGATTTAAATGAGAATTTGACTCTTTAACATTACACAATGGAGAAAAAAGATTTATGAAGCCGACCCCATGTAGTGGGATAAAGTTTTGATGTTATTGTTGTTTTTGTGTAAAACCTTTTTTGTATGCTTATGCCTCTTTAAAATTGTGTCAAAATTGCGATGAACCATGCCTCATCCCAACTGACCCATAAGCCTCATCTAGAAAGCATGAGGCGTAGGCCTTTTTACTTTTTATTTAATTGTGTTGAGACGAGCTTTTAATAAAGATTGTGAGAATGTAATTGACTTTAGTGACCTTAGCACCTTAAATGAAAATAGAGATTTTTATGTTTTATTAGCATACTAGTAAAACCAAAGTTATAGAGGTTTTAAAGAAAATGAAGCGTGGAAAAGATATTGAACCTGATGATATTTCAATAGAGATGTGGAAATGCTTCGGAGATGAAGGAATTTCTTGACTTACTAAACTTTTTAATATCTAAAAAAGATATCAGATGAGTAGAGAATGAGTGTGTTAATTCCTATTTTTAAGAATAAAAGTGATACTTAAGATTTCGCAAATTATAGGGGAATTATGTTATTGTGTCATACTTAAAAACTATTAGAGAGAGTTTTGAGCATAAGTTATGACGTGATGCTAATGTTTCTCAAAATCAATTTGGATTCATGTCAGGTATGTCTACTATGGAAGCTATATATTTATTGAGAGGTTTGATGGAGAATATAGATAGAGAGAATGAGGATCTACATATGATATTTATTAATTTAGATAAAGCATATAATAAAGTTCCAAGAGAAGTGTTATGGAGAGTTTTCGAATAAAAAGGAGTTAATAAAGCTTATATTCAAGTCATTAAGGATATGTATACAAACGCTTTTACTTGTGTTTGATCAAGTATTTTACTATTTCAGTTGGGTTACATCAAGGATCAGCCTTAGCCCATATCTTTTTGCTTTTATCATGAATGTTCTTACTAGACATTTTAAAGAGGTTGTACCCTATGTATGCTTTTTGCTGATGATATTCTTCTTGTTGATAAGACTAGAGAGGGAGTTGAAGGTAACTTGAATTATGGAGGCGGTCAACCTAGATTCTAAAGGTTTCATTAGTGTAGATCTAAAATCGAATATATGGAGTGTAATTTCAGAAGTAATAGATCTAGTAAGGGGATTGTGACATTGGGCAATTAAGTCATTAATAAGAGTACACACTTTAAATATATTAGGTTTATTGTTCAGAATAATGGTGAAATTGATGGGGATATTACTATAATTCAAGTTGGATGGTTGAAGTGGAGGAATGCATGGGCTTGTGGTGTGATAAAAAAGTCCCCCTCAAACTGAAGGGAAAATTTTATAAGATGGTGGTGAGCCCTGCAATGCTTTATAGAGCAGAATGCTGGCCATTAAAAGAGAAACATAATATTAAGTGTTGGAGAGATGAGGATGCTCAAGTAGATGACTGTCTTTACTCTTAGAGACAAAAAACTAAATCAGCATATACATGAAAAGATTATAGTAGCTCTAGTAGAAGATAAAATTAGAGATAGTCACCTTAGATGGTTGGTCACATAAAATGACAGCCTTCCGATGACCCGGTTAGGAGAGTAGATGTATTAGATTTGTCTTATGTTAAGAAATTTAGAGGTAGATCTACAAAGATTTGGTTAGCAAATATTAGAAATAATCTCTTTTTATTATATTTAAATAAGAATTTGACTCTTAAAAGGACACAATGGACCACACGTAGGGAGATAAAGGCTTGATGTTATTATTGTTGTGTTACAAATAGCCTCCAATCGTGCAATTTGAATCCATGCACTTCTATTTAAACGTGCACGTTTGAAAGCTGCAAAATTAAAGCCTCAATAAGACTCAAATTGATTTAAAAATCATTTTTAGATGAAATTGGTATTCAATACCATCAGAGTTGATTTTGAGTGAGTCCTTAGGTGTTTAGTGTGTAAGGGTGCACCACATAATTATCTCTATTGGGTTGAGAGATTATTTCTTTCCAACCTAAGGAACCAAGACAATAATTGATATCTCGCAAGACTTCTTGATAAAATCATGGTAACTTAACCTGTGAAGCTATAATTTGGGAAAATGGCACAATTGAAATGACTAAAGTTTTATGCAATAAGGATTAGTAAACACGTAGCGAATTGATGTTTAATTTAGACAAAATAGAATGATATTACCATTATGAAGATGTGACCTGTCTAGGAAGTTTCCCAAGTGACTTCACCATTTCATTGCTCCACTAGTTTTTCCTTCAGAAAAGCTTTTTGTGTATTCTTAATTTCCTCTATTTTTTTCTTTAAATAGTGAGTTGATTTATTGTAATTAGTAAACAATGCAGAAACTCAACAACTACATGTTGTCTGTTCCGTAGTCTTGTTGTAGTCTGCAGCGGTCTGCAAAGGATTGCTGGAAATGAAGATAGAGAGAGAGAGAGAGAGAGAGTAAATGATCCCTACTGTGCTTGGAATTTAAAAACACAGTGGGAGTGTAATGGAGGAGAGTAAGTTTTTAGAAATAGAAATTAATATTACATTATTCCAAACTTAAAATTCATATTACAAGTTTATCTCTATTTATAGAGAACTAAGAAACATCTAGAAAGGCCATTCAAATTCAAAGCAAAATAATAGAACTGGATATACATGAATAAGTATCTAACAAACTTCTAAATTTTGGAAAATATTAAAAAAAATTCCAAGAAATAAGATATTTATAAGCAAAATCACTTGAAAACCTCCCT